AGGGATATGGTGGACGAATTTTGGTGGAATGTTCCAAGATGACAGCTAACCTCAAAACTAAAATCAAAATATTCGATTTAAAAGCTGTTGGCCATTTTCCTAACAAAAAATATAATAAAAGAATAGCTGCATTATTGACACCAACAGGAATTGTAGAAATTTCGAGTGTCATAAATTTCCCATCCTGAATTTCAAGAAATTAGTGCAAATATTCAGGAAACTTGAGTACCAACAGATAATTCTTATTAATGACTTAATCCATATCATCATAATTTGAATGCAATGTTTTGTATATAAGTTGTTGAGAATTTTCAACCTATCTCGTTTACTCCCCAACATAAACAATATTTCATTCTCGAAACTATCAGAAGAACTGCTAGAACTTCTGGATCTGAAGACAAGGACTCCAATTACACGTTTAATACATCATTTTTCATTTTACATTAGTTCTCGGCTTCTAATTGAAAACAATCTACGTCCCTATCAAATGACGAACAAAAAAATTAATAAAGAAAAAAACAGTTGTGATTGTCATGTCAAATAACTGCGTTTTTTTTTCAACAGTGATGACTCCAACAATTCGATTCATCAGAGAGTAACGTCTCTTCCATCAATGATGAAAATCTGGTGTAAAAAAGAACATGCCTATTGTGACAGTGTTGCAATATCTCCTCAAATATATAGGGAATTCAGGAAATATATAATTTATTTGAAATCAAGATGAATTGAGGAATCCAAAGCTATCAAAATATACGGCGCATTCCATTTGAAAAAAATATATTTTTCTCAATACCCTGTATATTTGAAAAGATATTGCATCGTTGTCAATATGAGTGAAATCTGCTCGAAAAATTGTATAAAATCAGCTTGTAATTTTTTTTAATGAGTGTGGAACAAAAAAGATAAAGGGGGGTTCACATTAATAAAACTAGCCATGTACAACTAAGAAATGACGCCTGCTGTATTTCGGAAACCATTTGCTGCATTGGTTTCGAAAAAAAATATTTATGATGAAACTGGCCAAGAGAAATCACTAGATATTATTTTCAAGTTTCCAGGATGGTCGCTAGAGGGCGTAATTGCATTGGCCAATTGAAATTACGAGGTGTATGAGAATTTGATATATCAAGACTATGAAAAAACGCCTATTACATACTATAGATTGGTGAAACGGAATTCGACAAACTTGGTCTCATTATGAAGGTTTGTTTTTGTTCTTTCAAATATATCAAATGTCGGCACCGTTTGAATAATCAAACAATTTTCCATTTCCGGCGTCCTTTTCTATAGTTGTACACCCGGTACACGAATTTGTATGAAATTTTGGAACTTTCGCCGCCAGCGTCTCCCAGAACACACCTGCAGATTTGCGCTGTTATGTTTCACATCATACATGGATCCTTTTCAGAAAATAATATTGACTGTACCAAATCACGTTCAAATTCATTAATTCTATTACTGGGAATTAAAAATTACTAGTTTTTGAATTATCACATTGAATGTGTCTGCACTGCGCGCAACTTCAACTCTGTCTTCGTCTATCGCACGGAATATTTGTCACGGAAATCTTTGTCGCACGATCACAGTCGCAGAGTCGCACTAATTTTTTTTTTTAATCGACAACCGTCATTCGGGTTCGGGATGTTCGGGACACACTTTTTACGGGCTCGTAATAAAACAGCGCTTATTTTCATGTATAATTTGTAGGTTAAACAAGTAGGTGAACATAACTAGGGTCAAAATTCCTGTTTATACCTGATGGTAACCCAATAGTTAAACCGGGAAAAATATAGGCAACCCTACGTTTGCATGTACTATAGGGTTTGTACTTGGGGTTGGTGTTATTCTTTTTTCATTTTTTCATTAAACTCGTCGGTAGAAATAGAAGAAGTGATTCTTGAATTTTTAATCAATTATAGCCTAGCCTGGCCAGGATTTTTCAGGAAACCCATTTTTTTATTATTTTCAACATGCTACATTACTTATAAAATTATTTTCATCCAATAAACAGATAGGTGAAGGTCGACCTTATTCCGGATCTTAGACTAATAGCTTCATTCAAAATGTTTTTGTATGTCAATAAAGAATATTTCATATTATGAAAAATATAAACATAACCTCGACTATAACCGAAGTTGTAGAACCTTTTTTGGAGATCTGAAGGAATAATAACATTCTTTGCCTTGTACATAATTTATGAATGTTTGATATCTTATTTCAAAAATAGAGAAATATATCACTCTCTCAACAAAACTGCATACAACACAAGGACAATGAATGTGAAATATACCATGTACATAGGTTAACTTTTACAGAAAAATGTCCTCAATACACATGTGTAAAATTCTTCAATGCCTTACATAACAGGATGAAGTCTATAAAATGTGAAAAGATCTTCAAGACTCAAAATCAAAACGAAACTAATCCAACTGGAACCTTATAACCTTGTAGACTTTTTTATAATGATTTTCTCTACCCTCCTCTCTTCCTTTTTTGTTAATGTAATTTCTTTTGTCTGATTCACCTGAACCACTTGTTTTTGTATCTCTTCTGATATGAATGAAATAATAGCTATTAATATATCAAGGGAGGAAAGGTATCCATTGCCTCCCGCGTGTGAAGTTTGATGCTGGAGGCGTAGCAGAGGGCATTGAATACACATGGGAGAAAATGAACCCTTGCTCCCATGATATAAACCTATATGATTTTATCAATGAACACATTTTTTTAAAACATGATCATTGAAATTGTGCATCAGTAATACCAGCCAGATGGACTCAACAAGAGCAGTCAGCACATCATTTCGTTGTAAACCTTGAAATATGTGGAACAGCACTATATCAAAAATCGTTTCTCTATAGAACAGGAAAGCTCTGAAATTCATTGCCTCAGAAAGTATTTCCAAGAACTTATAATCTCCAAAAGTTCAAAAAATGATCCAACACCTACCTTCCTCTCCCTATCCTGCCTAGGTATGCAGGATGTCTTGGAACATTATAGGGATTCCCTTTCGTGCACACCAAGTGATAAAAAAGGCTGTCTATCTCTGGATCCAAATCATTTTGCATTTCATAGGTAGTATGACATGGACAAATGATGGCATTTGAAGGTGAGTCAATTTGACACTTATGTCATCATGAATTGATTGATTTGTATATTGTGGAACTTCATTTGAAAGTTTTGATCAGAAATACATTTGGAATATGAAGAAGAATTAGAAATCAAAAAGGATATTATTGTTAGTTGTTTTATAATAGTAATAAAGACAATGATTACTTGGATTGCACATATTTTATAGGTATAGTGATTCAAAAGGTTGCATGGTGAAGCCGATTTATTGTACCTCCCAGGAGAGTATAGTATATTACACACCGAGGTGGAAAGAGATTCATTCCTGTCATGAGTTAGTTAACCAAGACACAAATTGTCAAGGTTAGCTATCATCTCTAGATAGGAATGAAACTTCCTACAGAGGTTTGTATACTATTTTATTTACAACCATAATATTTGATCAAAATTGATGAATCTCTGTTTTATTCTGAACATACCAAAAATATTACATAAGTGATGGCCAGATGTAGAGGTGTGTAATGTGACACTTCCCAACCATCAATGACGTTAGTAATGATGACATTACATATATGGTTGTGAATAAAATATTTTTTTCTTCCCCTGGGAGTGAATTGACAACTTTGTTGCCTTAAATGAGGGAGCAAATGCCAACTTTCGATTCAGTGAGTAGATATCATTATCATTATCATTTTTCAATACAAAAAAGATTCATTTGATTGATGATTTTCATGAGTACTGGGCTACCTGATAGTGTTGTAAGTGCAGTCTCTGGAGGAAGGATAAGTTAAAAAATCTGATTTACTTCATTGAATATTAGAATTGTGATCAGCTCAAACATTGATACACTAACTTGCTGTGCTAGCATGTTGAAACAAAAACTTGTTTGCAGGAAAACCCCGTTTCTTGTTTATATCAATGTCTTCCACAAGCAACACATCAAAAATCAAATTATGGAAGACACAGGGCAAGTGAGGTATTTCCTGGATTATTTCTAATATATAGTTGTCACACAGTCACATGTTCTCTATGTTATATAGGTAGGTAATACAGTGGTTCAGAATGAGATTTTTTTTATCCCTTGGAATGGATGAAAGGGAATCCCTATAATGTTCACAGAACATTGTGAGTTCCTATAGGGAGGATAGGGACAGGGGGAAGGTATTGGAATTTTTTTTGAACTTCTGGAGATTATATGTTGTTGGGAATACTTCAAACAAATTCACTCATACAGATCATTTACCCAATTGTGATAAGAGGTGGACATGAAAAAGTGGTAGATTCAAACATAAAATGGTAGATATAGTTTGAAAATTGCAGTTCAACTACTAACATAGTTAGCAAGGTAATTAACCTATGTAAAGAAGGGAAATTCAATATTCTTAAACTCACTTAAAATCCTGAAGCTTTCAAAAAAATATATCTGGGACAAAATCAATAAACTTTTGTGGTAGCAAGGAGTCTTGGGACTCTTGGGTATTAATGGATTACTGATGTTTCCTAGGGGATTCAAATGCCAAAGCCTAGGCCAAAGCTGAACATTGGAAATTTAAAATGTAATTGGCAGTGGGACTAGAGGGTGATGGACCTCATAGTGTGGTTACTCAATAGAAATGTTGTGGCAGGCAATCAATTTCTGTGAATATTGGAGTGAATATTATATCATTATTTGATGATATAGTGGAGATGCACCAAATTGATGAAAATAGCAGCAACTACTATTCCAAGTAACTGGCCATGTTGTCAAATACCAGCCTCTCTTAATACTCCTACATATAACAATTTGATCAACAATCTGTATATTCCTCATTTAGATCAGATGAATAACTGAAACCAATATTTTAAAAAGGATACTGTAATGCTGTGCACCAGGCCTCAGCAATATAAGTCCCCAGGTTTCTGCCTGTTTGAGTACAATTGAAGGAAAACACCTTGTCTCTACCAACACTCAACACCCATTCACAGTTTATGGCAAATAAGATATCTGTCACCCTAGCCTGATGTGCAAGGTATTCTTTAACAGGCGTCATTCTATTGAAATCAAACGCCAAGGAGAATTCTGATACAGTACCATTCTCTTGGCCAATGAACAGTTGTCTAGTTTCAATAGTATAGAATATAGATGTGGTCCCACTGGGCATATACTGGCAGATACTGGGCCAGTATTGCCCTGAATCTCTTTTCAGCCATACTCGTACAGTTCTGAGGGAGGAAATTGTTCATTAAAAAAATACACTATGAAGTTGTAGCATTTTCTTACTTATCATCTGAAACGCTGATAATTCCTTCTTCACCTGGTATAAGTACAGCGGCATTGATATCATCACTACAAGCATCTAATTTTGATAGAAGCACGGGTTTTTTCGTAGTGCAAAACCTTTCATTTGATTGAGCTGTAGATTTTATTTCCGCTGCCATTTTTTTGTTGTTTTCAATTTTAATAATAATAATAACCTATAACTGTCAAACAGACCGTCACCCGCTCACATCGATCGTCGGTCATCTGTCATCATTCATCTGTCATCTATCACCGAATGCCGTTTTGTTTGACGCAATGACGAATGCCCAGTGTTGCCAGAGCTGGTACATTTGTATAGATTCAGTACAATTCATACCCTTTAGTACATTAGTACATTTCACCCAATTCTGGTACAATTTCATGTTTTGGTCAATACATTCAGCTCAAGTTTAAAACAATTGAACATTCATTACATGTAGCTACAAATAAAAACCAAAGTTTGAATGACTGGCAGATCATCTGCTCATTATCTCCTCAGTTGACCTGACTGAGCTGTTTATGGATATCAGCCAACCAACTGGCTGACCATAATGAGAGACATCATCAACTTCAACTGTCAGTACAGTACTGTTTCCTGATGGTTTTTCAAATATTTGATGTACAGTCATCTTTTATTATGGATGATATGCTGCATATATTGTGTATCTTTTTAGCTATTATTCAAGGATCTCACCAATGGGAAATGTTTTTTCTGATTTTTCTTCATATTTCAATGAAGCTAGTCATTTTTTATGGATGACACTGTATATGTTTTATATCTTTTTGGCTACGTACTTGATGTGACATTTTTCATTCCATTGACTTTTTTCACGCTTTTTTTATATATGATGAAGTCATTTCTGACAATGAGAAATAAAAATTATCGTTTATCAGTTTTCTCATCGATTTTTTCAATATTCCATGTCTGGTACATTCCACTCGATTTTAGTACAATTCAATAGTGATTTCAGTACAATTAGCTTTTTTCTTCTGGCAACACTGCGAATGCCGTAGACGCCAAGGATTATTAATTAATCATTCCAGAATTACGTCATTTGACAGGTTGCTGAGGGGCAAACATTGTATTTTGTCAAGATCTGTCAAATAAAACCAGAATTAGTGGGATCGTTTTCCTTGGAATACGAGTTAGAACCAGAAAGAATTTCATAATTATGTTTGGTGAAACTGTTTTAATATTGTGGATGTGGCTGGGACAGCCAGGGCAATGATCATCAAAGGTAACCTAACAGATAGTTTGTGTGCCCCTCAAGAAACCATGTCAAAATCACGTGTTCTAGAATGATCAATAATCCTTGGTAGACAGCAACAACAGCAACGAACTCAATACAAATCATTGTATAAACAAACCAATGAACTCAATATAAACACCTATATCAAGTACATTATATTAACACGTAGACCATTTGCAGACTAATCAGGTGACATGTTGAAGTGGCGGGAAATTCGCACCTGCAATTTCTGGAGGCTTCCACATTGAGGTAGAGGTAGGTATTTCAGGTTGGTTAATCATGGTTAATCTATCATTGATATTCTTACCTAGTTACGAAATAACGAAGCTGATTTCCACTTTATACCATATAATAACGTTATTTGGCATGAAAACTCCAAACCACTTCATTTTGTTGGGCTTTTCACACGTTTTCTTGATGAAGTTATCAAACTCGAATGGAATAAATTCATTGCACTATCAATTATTTTTCTCTGCTATATAATACTTCCTTCTTGTGATGACTGATAAAAATGTGTTCACGAAGACTTATATGCATAAAATGTCTTCTTTTCATAATTGCAGATTTCATTTGTATACGTAAATTCTTGACTTCTAGTTTCTACTCATCTTGTGGAAGGTATTGATATTTATTTGGCTACCTAAAGACCAGATACTGCGCTGTATTAGCAAAGTGAAATGTACTTAATATATTTAATAGTCAGATTGATAGTGACAATTGTCAAATTAAAAGTGACAATCGTTAGATAAAAATACATTCAGTTCATAAGGTTCATTGTAAAAAGTGACAATAATTTTCAGTATAAACAATTGTCAGATTGAATGTGACAATCGAGAAAAATGAAACATTGGTCGTAGGATACTTCACTAATTTTGAGTTGAGATTTTTTTATTGTTAAACTCTGCGGCACCCTTTTCAAATAACTTTCATGAGTGTCACCTCTTCAGACTAGTAGTTTTTTTATCATTTATTTCATTGCAACTTTATTAATTAATAATATTCATTAATAATAACAAAACAACCACATATATGTTACAATTTTCAAACTTTCAAATCTGGCTAATTCTGATTCTGAAGTCTGATTGGTCCAAATACTCTCTTCTCCAACATGTGACCTGATTGGTCTAACCCAAATGTTGGGCTAGTGTTCGGGAACTGTCTACAGGCATTCATCCCGCTTGTTCATTTCTGAAGGGTAGGTTAGAGGGCGGATTCATCTCCCCCACAAGGGTAGGTTAGAAGGGTAATGTTAGGTTAGATGCCTCACCGGCGTTGGAACGTCCAAATTACGTTGGGTTAGGCAGGTATTTTTGTAAGAATAATGCACGGGTTAGATAGGGGTCGAGTGAGCTGAGAGCGGTATAGGTGCACTACTAACCTGCGATATCGCATTCTATGTCGCATAGACGTCGCTGCGATGTCAGAGGGATATTATTTTATCCCACTCAAGTTTCATCCATACGACGTCGCTGCGATGATTGCTCTGCGATATAACAGTGATATATATTTGGAATGTAGCTGCGATATATTATTTGTGATGGAAAAGCGATGTTTTTTTGCGTTAAAACTACGATGTGATGCGAGATGACGTAGAGAAGTGTTGGAGAATCAATCATCATCCTTTATATGCAATCATATTTATGAGCATCTTATATGTTGTCTAGTTGTCAATGTATTAAATTAGGATAACGTCAATTGTAAAACTTCTTAGTTGAATAAATACAATTACACTGATTTTTGATACATATGCTGTTGTCCAGAATAGTCGTCAAAGGTATATAATAACAACAGGTTATGGGCCCAGAATCCGCGCATAAAGAAAAATTTACCAAGGATAGTTCTTGAGTGTGCAAGTTTTCATTTCAATGTGACAGACATCGGAAATTATGTCTTCACCTCCACCCATCACCAAATTGGTTAGAAGAGAGAACTATCAAGACTGGAAATTCGGGATGGAGCTGTATCTGCGAGATCTGAATGTGTGGTATGCAATTGTTGGTTATCCTGAAGGTGATAAATCTGATGAGGATAAGAAAACCAAAAATGACCAAAAGGCACTCTCAAAGATTGATCTGATGGTTGCGCCATGCTGTTATCCTCATATTCGAAGTTGTTCGACGGTCACAGAAATGTGGAGGAACCTTGAAAAGGCTTTTGACGATAAGGGTCTGAATATAGGAGAATCCGTTTACTTATTCGTGCAATGTGTTCTTTGAGACTTGAGCAGTTTAATTCGATGGAAAACTATGTAATTCAGTTCATGTCGCTGCAGATGTCTTTGACAAGTATGAATAAACCCGTAGAAGATGAATTTCTTGGGGCTGCTATGCTTGCTGGTCTATCATCTGAATATGAACCCATGATAATGGCGATGGAAAGTTCTGGAGCAGAAATATCCAGTGATTATGTTAAAACCAAGTTGCTGCAAGATACAATAAGATGGGAGAATAAGAATCAAAATTCATTGGAATCTGCCCTGTATATTAGGTCGAAGAAAATGACAAATGTTTTGGCGATGTGGTGAAACTGGTCATTTGCGTCCAGCCTGTCCGAGAAAACAACCTGAAAACAAAACTTCTGAATCCAGAGAAGAGGATTCAAGAAGAAACAAGAATGGAAAAGCTCTTCGGACAGCGCTAGGAGTTATTGCTAGTAACAACACTAGGGTCCCTCGATGGAAATTGACATTAAAGTCATCTCAACAGGGTACGGACAGATCATAGCTGCATTCTTTTTTAATGATCTAGAGACTTTAGTTTCGTCTACTGGCATCCCTGACATTGCTGTCACGTCATATCCATGGGCGCTACAGAAAATCATTCGAAATTTTAATAATAGGTGTGTACAGGGTATTTCATTGTTGAGGAAGATCATATGGCGAACAAGTTTTGTGATGAAGATCCGATTCTATTCAAAATTGATATCTGAGGGTTTTCGGGGTAAGAGATAATGATTGTTTCGTCAAAATTAGAAAATCCAAGATGAAGAAGGATCCAATATGGCGAAAGACATTAGTTTATGTAATTACTACTCTATCACAAATAGAAAATATGTAGGATGCAAGAGTGAAAATAACGTGCCTATAAGTTATACTGCGTATACCTACTTGTTTGTTACTTTCATCAATAAATTATTCGAGAATGACTTTTTATTTAAGGAAGACGGAAAAATCATATGTATAACATGGGAGTGAAGTATATTCTATTCTTTATTTTCGTGCACATTTTACGTATTACTTTTTATCAGCCTACTTTTCGTCCTAGACGAAGTTTTATACATAATTTATATTAGTCACTCCATAAATTCTTCGGGTTCGATTTCCCAAAATATATTTAGCACACATTACATGAGTACAGTAGTTTAAATATTCACATCGAGGTTTTCACCATTTCTCAATCATAAGGGTCAGCTCATTCAGCTAATAGATAAACTACTGCTCAGTTTGAAATCAGAATTCATTCAGTCAATTCAGTCAACCCTTGTATACAGTCTAAGAACAGTCTCTTTTGGTGAAATATATATTGAGCTTTCAGTAAAATTCATATGTTCCCTTAGCTACCTCTCAAAAATTATGCTGGAGTATAGTGAACTCTAAAACTAGAGGATTGTTCATCTATATTTTGGTATAGTTGAATCAGGAATTCCATATGGAAATTACGTATGATACGCCAGTGACCTCAATATAACCTAAAAAACAACAAATAAATGCCAAAAATCTAGTGTTTATCCGCAGAAATGAATAAAGATGGAACTATATAACTGTTTCACAAACATTTTAGAGTGAGAGGAGACGAGGATCTGTCCGTACCCTGTTAAGATGACAAATACGTCAGTTTACATCAAGGGACCCTAGTAACAACCAGCATTTAACAACCAGTGGTATATTGACTCGGGTGCTTCAACGCATATGACTGCACACAAAGATCGGCTTCGAAATTATAAAAATGATGCCGCGTCAAATCTGACAGTAACGGTCGCTAATAATGAAAAGCTACAGTGTGATGGTGTTGGAAATGTACAAGTGAAGCTGAAAAATGATGATATTTCAACAACCATTTCTGATGTTTTATTGGTGCCTGATCTCAGAACAAATTTACTATCTGTCAGTAAGCTGGTATCTAAGGAATACGTTGTTATTTTCGATGAGAATGGCTGCAGAATACTAGATGATGATTCTACTGTGAAGGTGACTGCTTCAAATGTAGATGATGGTATTTATTGTCTTGACATTGCCAAAGAAAAAGCTTCTACCCCACTTCTACCCATGAAAACAATGATAATATTTTGATCGAGATTGCTAACATGTCAGTTACATCTCATTCACATGATTTGTGGCATCAACGTTTGGGTCACCTGAATAGAATCAGTATGAATTTATTGAAAAATGGCATGGCCACAAGAATCTCTTTCAAAAATGAAGCTGAAATCAAAACATGTATCCCATGTGTTGAAGGAAAACTGAGTAAGAAACCATTCAAAACATCTGGATGCAAAAGAGCTAAAGAAAAATTGGAAATGTTGCATGCAGATTTATGTGGGCCGATGACGGTTCCTTCCTGGAGTGAAGCAAATTATTTTTTCACCATTGTTGATGACTTTACTCGTAAGATTTTTGTATAGGTACTTCATAAAATCCAAAGATGAAGTTTTAGACCTGTTTTCGAGGAATTTCAAGTAATGGTTGAAAATCAAACTGGTTTTGAAGTAAAGAAAATTCGAACCGACAAAGGTGGTGAATTTGTGGACAAAAATTTTGACAATTATCTAAAATTACGTGGAGTGATTCATCAAACCACTATTCCCTACAAAACCCCCAACAAAATGGGGTTGCAGAGAGAGTTAACCGAACCATTATGGAGAAGGTCAAGTGCATGATGCAGCAAGCTGGGTGTTCTAGCGTATGTGGGCCGAAGCAGCAAATACTGCGGTTTATCTAAAAAACAGATCCCCACATGAAGCTGTACCTGGAGTAACACCTGAAGAAAAGTGGACTGGTGAAAAGGTAGATCTCAGTCATTTGAGAGTTTTTGGCTGTATTTGTTATTGTCACATACCAGATGAAAAACGGAAAAAGTAAACCATTGATTTTTGTTGGCTATTGTGAAGAAAATATGGGATATCGACTTTTTGATCCAGATCATCCAAAGAAAATTACAAGAGCTCGTGATGTTGTTTTCGTAGAGAATACATTTTCTGACGTGAGTATTCCAGTCGAATACTCTACGAATGAATGGCACATACGTAGTGTTTCTGAAGAAATTTCTGAGGCAGAAGTCCTGAATGAAAGAGAAAGTATGAGCCAATCAGAAGAAGCTGGTGATCTGCTAGATGACGTGAGAGAGAATGAAGAATCTATATTAGAAGAATCCACTATAGAATCAGTATCTGAAGAAGAAGAAAATCT